TTCACTGCTCGGCATTGTGGCTCAAACCTCAGATAGTAGTCACTCTGTGCAAATTCAAACAATGAGCCCCCATCCCCTCCACTGAGACCCAGGTTTTTGACTCAGCTTGTGGTCAGTCTTCCTAAATTCTCCTCAACCCCCCACCAGATGAGTTTGCCTTTTAGCATAGCATTTGGCCCAGTGGTTAGTGCTGCTGCCTCACAGCACAAGGGACCCAAGTTCAATTCCAACCTTGGGTGACTATCTGTGTGGAGTTTGCACATTCTCCCTGTGTTTGTGTGGGTTTCCTCCCACAGTCCAAAGATGTGCAGATTAGGTGGATTTGTTATGTTAAACTTCTATAGTATCCAGGGATGTGTAAGTTAGGTGGAGTAGCAATGAGGAAACGCAGGGTTATGAGGTGGGTCTGGGTGGGATGCTTTTCGGAGGGTTGGTGTGGACTCAATGGGCCAAAAAGCCTGTTCCACACTGTAAGGATTCTATCTCTCTACAGTGCCTTAAGGCATTTTATTTTCTATGTGAATTGAAGGAATTGTTTCTTCTGCTGTTTCCCCCTTTCTCAAGTTGTTGCTGATGCAACTACAGTCAGAATTATACAGTGTGGATGGAACTTTCCCATTTTTTTTGAAGTGTGGAGATGTGCGTGTTCAGTAATGACAAACATGCGAACTCCACCAGTGAGGAAATTCACAAAATTGGTCACCAATCATCTCATTTAGAGCTGACAGACAGCCTGGGTAAATATCTTCCCTATAGCAGACCTTGACACCAATGACTTATTTGGCCAAAAACTGCCACCCAATCGGAGGCAGGTAGGTTTTAAAGTCCATGCATTGATATCAACTCCCAGGGGGGTCCAGCACTGAGAAGGTAGGTATCTTTTATTCTTCCCTTTGCAAGATGGGGGTTGGAAGAGAGGGCTGAGATTAGGATAGAGGTGTGGCTTTTAGAGGGCACCCCATAGTCCCCTGTCAGTGCTTCCATTGTCCCCAGATTGGGGCAATTGGAGGTACCCCCTCAACTTGGCAGGGGTTCACAATGGTTTCCCAGTTAGGAAAATAGTCACCTTTTCCAACCACCAGGGAAGTGAGCAATAGAGAAAGTGACACGTTGAGCTCCTTAAGTGGCCACTTGAGAGTTTTAATTTCTGGCAAGTTAAGAAAGTCCTCAATGGATCTTCTCACTGAACATCTAACTCGTGAAGTGGTGAAACGAGGCTGAGTTTCACTCCAGGGCCAATTCACCCCATAATTTCCCCTCCAGGGAGGGGAAAAATCCATGCTTAGTTTCTTCCTCAATTCCCTGCCTGAGTACAGGTCCATCCCAAAGGTAGGGTAAGGCAGCAGATCCCAAATCCATCCCAAATGGGACAGGGATGAAATCCTGGCTGTTGGCACCAATCTGATCCATACTAACCATCCAGCAAACCAAAATCTCCCTCCTCCTAGAGATAGTAGGAACTGCCGATGCTGGAGAATCTGAGATAACAAGGTGTAGAGCTGGATGAACACAGTAGGCCCAGCAGTATCAGAGGAGCAGGAAAGCTGATGTTTCAGGTCTGGACCGAAGGGGGAAACAGCAGAAGAAACAATTCCTTCAATCCACATAGAAAATAAAATGCCTTAAGACACTGCAGAGAGATAGAATCCTTACAATGTGGAACAGGCCTTTTGGCCCATTGAGTCCACACCAATCCTCCGAAGAGCATCCCACCCAGACCCACCTCATAACCCTGAGTTTCCTCATTGCTACTCCACCTAACTTTCTGAAGAAGGGTCCAGACCCAAAACGTCAGCTTTCCTGCTCCTCTGATGCTGCTTGGCCTGCTGTGTTTATTCAGCTCTACACCTTGTTATCTCCCTCCTCCTAGCCATGTTTCCTGCAGTGACATGCACTTTAACCTGCGTGCTGAGGCCTGGAGCTATGGATAATAGCTCCAATTTTCTTTCTGTCACATGGAACCTCTATCCTCCACTCTTACCACCTGGCATACGGTGGAGGGAATGGTAAGTTAAAGCTCAATCTTTTTGACCAGGTTATGAACACACCATCCTTGGCCATCATATTGGTAGCGTCGCTGTTTCTGAGTAGGAAAGTCCATGTTCAAGACCCCAGGATGCGACCAACATGCTCTATTCTTTGAAAAGATAAAACGAGCAACTATTTTTTCTGCTAAATGTCTCAACCTACTGTTAAATCAAGAAAATCATAATTATTTTCAATATCCCTTAAGCCCATTGTTTCCACAAAGCTGCAGTCTGGTCAGTAAAACGCGTAATTTATTTTGTGCTATACAAAGAGTACGATTACAGTTGGTCACATTCCATGTGTAACCATATATCTGGTAGATCCTCTCCCAGGTCACTGATGTCTAATTAACGTCATGTGGGTGATCCAAACTGAGACACTGATAGTTAGAGCGTAGGAACAAAATGTGCACACCCTCTGGGAAAATAAACACACTCATTTCATGGCTAGAATTTAGAACCTTTACAGTTCACATATTTTTAAGGAAATGTTTTATTGTTGTATCTTCAGATGTGACAGAAACAACTGAGGTGAGCTGTTAACTAGAAGCCAAATTTAGCCACCTTCGACGATGAAAACCTTGAATAATGAACAAATCTTTTGAATCAGTGAATTAATTATCTCATTAGAGCAAAGATAGATAAGATTTAATAGGGATGTTCAAATTGAGGGTTTGATTGAAGAAATAAAGAGAAACTGTTTTCACTGGCAAAGGGGTGAGGTTAGGAAGTAGAGGGCAGAGATTTAAGTTAATTGGCAAAAGAGCCAGAGAGATGATAGGAGCAAGATGATAGTTCTGAGGAAGGGTCACCAGACCCAAAATGTTAAGCCTGATTTTTTCTTCACAGATGCTGCCAGACTTGCTGACCTTTTCCAGCAATTTCTATTTTTGTTGTGGATGATAGGAGTAGTTTTGTTTGCACAGTGAGATGTTGTTGTGTGGAATGAGCTGCTTAGAAGGTAGTGGAATCTGATTCAATAATAACTTTCAAAAGTGGAATGGCTATGGGGGAGTGAAGAGGAATGGGGCTAATTGGAAACAAAAACAGAAATTGCTTGAAAAGCTCTGCAGGTCTGGCAGCATCCGTGGACAGAAATCAGAGTTAACATTTTGGGTCAAGTGACTCTGCCTCAGAACTAATTGGATAGTTCTTCCAAAGCTGCTAGTCAGGCTGAATGAGCTCTGATAAACCAGTGCCTTGAGCATACACTCATGTATGTTTTATATGTAATAGAGGGGTTTTGAAGCAAGTGTCAGCATTTACTATTAAAACCTTTCCCTTAATTATTCTTGGTCAAATTTTTATCACTTTCCCGTTGAAAATTGTTTTTGATGCCTGAATGTCTGATGATCTATTTGTAACTGTCGTGACTGGTAACCCGTAGAAATTGCATTATATCTGGAGTGCTTCTGGTTCAACAGATTGCATCTCAGGAAGGAGATATTGACCTTGAATGGGATGTGGTGAATGCAGAATGATATACCGGGGATAAAAGTGTTAAATTATGAGCACAAGTTGTATGGACTAGGTTTGTAGACACTTTAAATCAGGCAAGTTATGAGACACTTGTGCATTTGAACCCAAAGGTGGAGATACTGCCATTGCACAACAAGAGCCCCTAGATTGGGTTTGCATGCCCTTGCCCATAGGAAGCAAGCTAACTGAAGTGATTAAAATGTTAAAGAATCTAGTGGGTAGACAGAAAGAAACTATTTTTTTTCCCATAGAAGGAGTCCAGGTTGAGGGAGCAGGAGCTCAACCTTAGAACTTGGCTGTACACAAACTGCATTTCCTCACCCAAAGGGTCATGGAAATCTGGAACTGTTTCCACACCCCAAAAAAAACAACTACTGCAACTGAAACATTTCAAATTGAGATTGACTTTGTGCGGGCAAGATGTGGAGGAATGGAGCCAATCAAATTAATAACACAGATCTTGCGTTAAAATGGTTAAGAAGGCATATGGGATGTTTCCCTTTATTAGCTGAGGCTTAGAAAACAAGAGCAGGGAGGTTATGCTGGAAAGGTACAAAACACTGGTTAGGCCACAGCTAGAGTTCTGAGTGCCATTCTGATCACCTCATTACAGGAAGGCTGTGATTGCACTAAGAGGGTGACTGGGCTGGAGGGACTGAGTTTTGAGAAAAATTGGATAGGCTGGAGTAGGTTCCCTTGAAGTAGTAAAGGTTGAGAAAGGGCTGCACCTTGTTGTCTCGGATTCTCCAGCATCTGCAGTTCCTACTATCTCTGAGAAAGAGGTGTACAAGGTTATGAGGGACATCAATAATGTGGATAGGAAGGCACTTTTGCTGTTAGTAGAGGGACCAATATCCAGGAGAGACAGATTTAAGGTAAGATGTAGAAGACTAAGGTGAGAATTGAGGATATAATTTCTTCACCCAGAAGATGATGAAAATCAGGACCTCACTGCCTGAAAGGACAGGCAAGTCAGAAAAGCTTCTAACATTTAAGCAGTAGATGAATTCACTTGTGTTGCCACATTCACCAGGGCTATGGGCCAAGAGCTAGAAACTCGGATTAGTGCAGCCTTTGTTGACTGTTACAGACATGATGGGCTGAATAGTCTTCTTTTGTGCCATAAATGTCTATGCGTTGAATGGTGAAACAGGCTCAAGTGGCTGAGTGGCTTCATCCTGTACCTTTAGACAACATTCCCTAATGGCATGAAGTATGTAAAACGCATTAAGTGTTCATTCAACAGTGACAGGTATGTCACTGTTTCCTGTCACTTTCCTCACTGAGGGGCTTCTCTCTGCTCCAGTACCTGTTTTCGCTTCTATTATTCATTTTGAAACATCCAATTTTTGGATGATTCTGATTTAGATCAAGAATAAGGGATTTCTCTGAATGGCTGTCCTGAGAAAACAGATCCTAAATTCATTTAGAGGGCTATACCCGACATGACATTCCAGTTCCACAAGACATTTGTAGCGGAGGAGTTGAGGATACCTTTGATGTCCTGCTGAGTTTCATTTCCTTCTATCACCATAAAGAAACAAGAAGCACGTTAAAATGAGGAAAGCTTCCAGGAAGGCAGAAAACATAAATTCAACAGCGGGTTTCAGAATCAATATTGTTAATAAACCACAGGAACAATGTGCAAGTGAGTAAGTGGAGCATTAGATCACACGCTGTCATGTACTATTTTAACAATATTCATCTCTAACTACAATATACACTGTGGACTAAGGAGAGGAGACTGGAGTCTGCTAATGTCTACAAGACTCAATGCTCACTAAGAATTTGGGATTGGTACAGAATGTGAGAGGATCTGATGATCTTGATTAGTGACATAAGGGATCTGCTAGCATGTTGTGAAAACCTTTCTGTATGTGATGTTGGCGGAATTGATTCTATATCCAGAAGCCCACATAATCAATGATAATTCTCAGCCTAAATTGAATTTGGCAGAGTAACAGCACTTAGTGTTATAAGAACATAAGGAATAGAAGCAGGAATGGGCTATCTGGCCCGTCGAGCCCGCTCTGTCATTCAATAAGATCATGGCTGATTTTTTTGTGGACTCAGCTCCACTTACCATAAAGGAATTAAGGAGTTCACAAAAAGATCAGCCACGATCTTATTGAATGGCAGAGCAGGCTCAATGGGCCAGATGGCCTTCTCTTGCTCCTATTTCTTATGTTATGTTCTTAAGGAAACTTTTGATAATGTTGAGTGTTGCAACAATGTGTTGCCCCTCCCTGCCAATGCCAAAACCTTTGCCAGTTAGCATGCAGTCAATCAGTCAGCGCTGATGCTTCAAGTCGATGTGGGCCAAGCAAGCTCTTTGTCAAGCTAGAAAAATCACACATGAATACTTTCACGAGGCAATGTTAACGACAGCATGTTAATAATGGCAGAGATATTAACCACATATTCCCATCCTTTCCCACCAATCATGGCGGTAAACCTTAGTTGTGGAACACATTCCCATTAGCAGCTTCTATTGCTGTTTTTACAACAGGAGGTGGGTTTGGGTGGCTTGTGGCACGTCTCGAAAAGGCAGGGCCCTTCATTAACATATTTAAATCGGGCACTGACTGTGTAATTAGGAGCCTGATTTAAATTTAACACCCACCAACTGGTTAATCCAGGGACTCAGAAAACCCAGAATGCAGCTACAGATCTGAGTTTTTATTCTCAGAACGTAAGTGCCTTTGCCAGCACTACTTGTGGGCCAGAACGAATGGGAATGTTTCCTTCATTCCCCACCACACAAAAAAATTCCCAGACCCGTCAAAGAGAGAAGGAAGGTTAGCACATACATAGAACGTCTCATGATGACTTGATATCTCAAAGTGCCATACAGCCAATGACCTACAATGAAGGGTGGTCACTGTTGAAATGTAGGAAACATGGCAGCCATGTTGAGCTCAGCAAATTCCCACAATTTTCAATGTGATAATGGCCAGATAATATCTGTTTTTTAACAAAGTGACTTAGGAATAAATATTGTCTAGGACACTAGGAATGTCTTCCCAGCAATTCCTTGGAACAGTTTCATGGCATTGCTTACATTCAGTCAAGGAAGCAGATGGGGTCTCATTTTAATGTTTCATCCAAACGATAGCATTCCTTCACAACTGTACTGGACCGTCAGCTCTAATTTCGATGCTCAAGCTCTGAGACTTGAACCTAGGATCTTGAGGTTCAGCGACAAACATCCTACCGATTGAGTCACAGATGACAGACAAGGAGCCATTCAGCCCCTCCATGTTCCACCTCTCAAGCCTGATTTCCTACTTTACCCAGCGATCATTGTTGTAGGGGGACATTCCTGTATATCCATAGTTGTGCCTGACTACTGATAACGTCCCAGTAGGCTATCAGCCAACTGATCAATTTTATGAGGCAATCTGGTTGTTACGAATGATATATAAGTAGTTCTAGGTTTTTCCCCTCTTATCTAGATGGGTAGAATGTGGGCACAGTGGTTAGCACTGCTACCTTACAGCGCCAGGGACTCGGGTTTGATTCCACCCTCGGGTGACTGTGTGGTGTTTGCATATTCTCCCTGCGTTTGTGTGGGTTTCTGCCGAGTGCTCCGGTTTCCTCCCACAGACCAAAGAGATGCAGGTTAGATGGATTAGCCACGCTAAAGTGCTCTGTAGTCTCCAGGAATGTGCAGGCTCGGTGGATTAGCCATGGGAAATGCAGAGTGATCAGGTAGGGTAGTGGGTCTGGATGGGCTACTCTTCAGAGGAGCAGTGTGGACTTGATGGGCTGAATGGCCTCTTTCTAAATTGTTGGGATTCTATGATCTGTACTCCCCTCATCCTTTCCATCTGACTGTAAATCCCATGGTCAATGGCTTGCTCTGCTGTTCAACTATGTCATGAATTGAGTTTGAGAAATGACTTCACATTGGAATTATTTTAACCATAATTTCCACAGAGATAAAGGGTTGAGAGATGATGGTCAGGGATTAGATGTATAGCAGAGATTAAAAAGGCTGATTTCCCAGACAGTAATGGAAATGTGATGGTGCACATAATTTGAAGGGCTCTATCCTGAAGGTTTCAGCTGTTGAAAACAAGAAGTTAGATTTTTTATTCCTCCAATTTCAAAGGTGCATCACAGGAAAACGTTTGAAGTAAGGGTTGGGTTTTTTTGGGTTTTAGGCTAAACTGATTTTGGACATAATTAAGAGCTGGAATTTTATTCTTCAGAACTGACGACAGATTTTCAGGCTGAATGTTTTGCTCTCTAGGGAAGGTGATGGCAGTGGTAACTTTGCTGTACTATTAATCTAGAGAAACCAGGATAGTGCCTTGCGTGCATTGATTCAAATCTCATCCACACCACTGGTGAAAATTAAATGCAATTAATGAAATTTATGATTGAAAGTTAATCTCAATGATGGGAAAATCCACCTGATTCACTAATGTCCTTTAGTGACAGAAATCTGCAATACTTATCTAGTCTGGCCTATTCTAGATCCACGGCAATGTACTTGATTTTTAACTGCCCTCTGAAATAACTTAGTTCAGGGGCAACTAGGAATAGGTAGCAAATACTGGCCTAACCAGCAATGTCTGTCCTCCATCAAAGAATGAAAGAAAATGACTAAAAACCAAAAGAACTACGGATGCTGTAAATCAGGAACAAAATAGAAGTTGCTGGAAAAGCTCAGCAGGTCTGGCAGCATCTGTGAAGAAAAAATCAGAGCTAACGTTTCAGGTCCGGTGACCCTTCCTCAGTTTTGATTTTTTCTTCACAGGTACTGCCAGACCTGCTGAGATTTTCCAGCAGCTTCTGTTTTTTTTCCTGATAGAAAATGACTACGGGCTAGTAATCTTATGTATTTGTTTCTGAATACAGTTTGAGTTTATATGTTTCAATTAAAAACATGACTTTCATTTAGATAATGCCTCTCATCTCCTCAGGACGTACCAAATGCACTTTACACAAATTGAATGTTCTCCTCACTATTGTATTACAGGGAACAAAATCGAGAAATAACCCCTTGCATTTTGCTCTATGTAGCTCATGCCAGAATGGCTATTAACAATTTTTTTTAAGATCATTGGCTGACTGTTGTAATTTGGGATTACAATAGAGAGTGGTGAGAAATAAAGAGGGATGAGACCATAGAGGGATTTGAAACCAAAGATAAAATTAAAATTTTGCTGTAGGTCAGGGGCAAGAAGGAGAAACATAAATGTGGGCATGTAAAATTTTATATAAACAATTTTTGTAGTTGTGAGAATAATTCTGAGCTGGATATGACATTTTTGAAAGCTCAATTACTTCATAGGATCACTACAGTGAAGAAAGAGGCCATTGGGTCCATCAAGTCTGCACTGACCCTCCAAAGAGCATCCCACCCAATCTCTGTGTTTACCATGGCTAACCCATCTCATCTGCACATCCCTGGACACTATGGGGCAATTTAGCATGGCCAATCCACCTAACTTGCACATCTTTGGACTGTAGAAGGAAACCAGAGCACCCAGAAGGAACCCACACTGACATGAGGAGAACATGTAAACTTCACAGACAGTCACCCAAGTCAGGAATTGAACCCAGATCCCTGCTGCTGAGAGGCAGCAGTGCTAACCACTGAGCCACTGCGCCACCCAAAGTGGTATTTTAATTTTATTCTTTCACAGGATGTAGATGTTGCTGGCAAGTTTCCTAAACTTAATTACCTTTGAATTGAACAGTTTTCTTGGCCATTTCAGAGGTTAGTTTAGAGTTAATCAATTGTTGTGGGTCTGGAGTCACATACAGGCAACACTATATAAGGATGGCACATTTCTCTCCCTGAAGGACTTTAGTGAACCAGATGAATTTTCACTAGAACTGACAATTGTTATTATGGTCAATATTACTGACTCTAGCTTTATATTCCAGATTTAGTAATTAATTAAAATTCCCCGGTGGTTGTGGTGGGATTTGAGCCAGTGTTTTCAAAGCATTAACTTGGGTGTCTGGATTACTAGTTTGGTAGCATTACCACTGCACTACATTGTACTTCAAAGCAGTGTGCAGCTTTTCCTACCCTGGAAGTGCGGATGCCTAAGATATAGGGAGCACGAAGCCTGAGGAGCAGGGATGAATGTGCAGACAAATAGTTGGTTGGATACACATCCTGGACCACCTCCTTTATAACTGAATGTAGATCAGATTCTGGTTTCAGCGTATTAAAATTTTAACCTCTGTCTGACCCCAAACCACAACTGTATCATGGTTAAAGTTCCTCACAGTGAGTCTGTTGTTTCAATTTCCTTTGAAAATAAAATCTTCCACTTGTACCAGTTATCCAACGTGAGGCATATGCATCCCCAGTTGCAAATGTGAGCAACAAGACACTATCAGGGTGATTTTGTAACTGTCAATGGTGAAAGCTTTGGGAATAGCGGAGCTGAGTGGGAGCAGTCGAATTGCGCTCTGGGAAAGTGAGTGAACTGATATATTTGGGCAATGGCTAAACCCGAGACACTACACATGCAGTGTCTCCCACCTGCCTTCCTCCT